TACACACTCGAAAATTGCTCATAAACTATTTTCGGGAATCGCGCGCGGTTTCCGAGACTATAGCCGTAATCATGGGTCCTCTGTGCTGCAAGCTGGCCGGCGCTAATTTCATTCTGTCCCCCCGGTCCTCCCTCGACTCGGCTCGCCTCGCGCCTCTGCAGCCATCTTCATGGTCATGCTGGGATCATTAGCCGTGAACACCGGAGCGCACAGACTATGGAGCCACGGCTCTTACAAAGCCTCGCTCGGACTCAGGATCGCCCTCATGCTCGCCCAGACTTCCGTCGGCCAGGTGAGTACCGGCAGAGCGTGGAGAATCAACCCCCTGCTTCGCCACAACGGCAGCAGTCCAGCTAAAACTCGCACGAGGGTCGGAATTCAATTTTGTTTGGCAGTGCTCGATCTACGACTGGGTGCTGGACCACAGGATCCACCACAAGCACTTCGGCACGGACAAGGACCCCTACAACCATAACCGGGGCTTCTTCTACGCCCAGCTGGGTTCACGCATGCAGACTGACCGCGCCGACCTCGAGAGCATCAAGAGCGAGATCGACATGAGCGACATCGAACAGGACGAAGTTGTCATGTTCCAGAAGAAGTGAGTTCCGCTGTCTGTCCAGTAGTGAGCTTTGGTCCGCGGTCTACACGCTAAATCACAGAATCTGATCAATTCACTCTCTCGCTCTCCTTGCAGATACTACTGGTTCATCTTGCCCATTGTCGCCTTCCTGCTGCCCGTCAACTTCCCCGTCGAGTACTGGGGCGAGTCCATCCTGGTGTCCGTGTACGTGGTCGGCTTCTTCCGCTACTGCATCGGCCTGCACATGTCGTGGCTCGTGAACAGCGCCATCCTCATCTGGGGGCTGGACCCCAAGGCCAGGTGAGTCATCCTGGGAGGCACAGCGGGGGCGGGAAGGGGCGGGGGAGCGTTGCCGCGGTGGCCACCCCCCGACCGCGCCCCAAGCGCAAGCGAAGAAAAAGTAGGTCGCACTGTGCAGTGTTTGAGCCCTCGACTGTTTGGTCCGCAGGTCGTCCTCCGACAGCAACCTGGTGTTCATCGTGACCCGCAGCCACTGGCCCCACTACCACTACATGCTGCCCTGGGACTACCAGACCGGCGAGTTCGGCACCTACGGCGCGGGCTGCTCCACCGCCTGGGTGCGCGTGTACGCGGCGGCGGGCTGGGCCAGCGAGCTCAAGACCATGGGCTCGGACGCCGTCAAGGAGGCGCTCACCATGGCCGTCGACACGGGCAAGCCGCTCGTCGAGTGCTTGAACAAGGTCGGACTAGAGTACGCCAACAAGATTCCGGACTCGCACGTGCTCGAGTACGAAAAATACAAGTAAAC